ACATTTGAGGCGTGCAGCAGGCCGTGGCGGGTATGATAGGGTGGAAAATTGGCTGGGGAAACTTGTGAGGCGTGCGGCACCTCGGGATGTGTGGTGGGAGACAGTCATGTCATTTATGTCGACGTTGTCTGAATGAACGAACAAGGTGAAGCCGGAGCCAGGGTTGACGAATACAGACAAACCGAGTCCTGGGGCGGGGACGCCACAGTGCTGAAGGTACCGATAGGGAAGGAGTCGACATGCTCGTCACACACTGGTCAACCGAGACAACCAAGGCGGGAACAGGGAATACCAGGCCGAAAAGGTGTCTGGTCTGGCCTGGTGTAATGTTGTGATGTGCCTTCTCGTCCTTCTCGCTGAGTGGCTTTCCCGATTTCCCCCAGATTTGACTTTATTGATCGAATCGATAAACGGGAGGTCCGAGTCAAGAAAACGAGAATTCCCAAAGAAGTTGGGCAGAAAAAGGCTCACCCTCACCCACCGATATCCTCACCTTGACACATTTTGGTTGAGTCTGGTGTGGCTTTATCTCAAGATCCCATGGTGAGCGCCATAGGTGTGGATGGTGAGTGATGAGAGAGCAAAATGAGGTGGTATCGGGGTGAGTTCGGCCGCCAGATAACATCTCCTTCCCCCCGCCCTTCTGTGTTCTCAAGGACTAAAACCCTTGTCCCGCCAACAGCGGGAGTGGATCCGGAACAGGCCTATCGGATGACGCCAATCGCGGTGAGGCTAGCGGCATGGCCCGGTGAAGTCTAACAGCTCGGCATCTCTTAGCCGTCGTTGTTTCCCTTTCCCTTTTTTTTTCTTTTGCTTGAGAAGGAAAGAACTGAACGGCCTCTTGTTGATCAACGGCGGCGGCGGGGCTTTTCTGCGGTGTGATGAACCTCCACTGCGACTTCCGTCAGTGGGGAAGTTAGTTTTTTTTTTTGGAGTTCCCTTCAATTTTTGGAGTTGAGTTGGAGTGCAGTGACATTCGACATTTTTTGGGTTCGAGCAAATCAAGCCGAAAAAGAAAGGATCCCGGCCCTCTTGGACTTACCTTGATTAAGCTTGACCATTGAACCAGCGGGGGTAACCGCGCGTGGAGAGAAAATAAATTTATATAGAAATAAAAAATAAAAATAAAAAATACAACAGAAAGAGGAAGTGTTCGTTTTTGGGGACATTTTATTGTTTATTCATCTTCATATTGTACTCCTTACTTTGGACAGGGACCCGGAACCACATTGCCTGATTCCCCCCCCCCCCCCTTGTTATCGTTGGTGCACACCTCCATCTTGGACATCGGGGCCCAATCGATATCTTTCCCGTCACTGGTTAGAGAGAGAGAATATATTCTCGTCTTGCAATCTGCAGCTTTTAGGAGTGTCATTATTTCAACAGCCCGGTATTTTCTCGCATCCTTTCAGATATCCACACCACACACGCCGGAGCCCACTCCTCCGTATTTCGGCGTCTCGGTCAAAAGTTACACTCACGGTGTATCAATGGCCAGTTAGCTGGGTTGACGGCGTGAAAGAGCCACTAGAGTCTGTCGGAGATATCTCATGCACGACCAGAGAAAAATCCTCATCGGTCATCCGGGCTACTGAGTCAAGTACACCCTCACGCCTCCGCTTCAACCAAGTTTCCCTGAGCCTTGGTTCATCAGAGGACCACTATCTAGACGTCAACGATTTCGCCTTACCCCAACCGTTTCCGGGGGAAGCTGTTCTTTTAAAAGCACGCCGATCAGGTCCGTTCTAGAACACACCGAAGACCGGTGAATCGTTTCATCCCACAGTCTATTCACGCCGTCCCGAGACTTTAGAGCTCATCGCCAACACTAGACCATTTTCAACCCAAATCTTCGGCAACTGCACCGTGCTGGGCGTGCGGACTGCTCTGCCAGGTGCCAGGTGCCCCTTGAGAACGGCTCCTGGCCTGGCTGCGTAGTTCCTGCTGGCAAGAATAGGGTATTCGATGGATCAAGCGTCCAGTCCAGGGCAGGGCTCTTCTCAGCATGGGGTGGAAAACCATCATGAACCGGGAATCCATCCTCGTCTTGATTCCGATGGTAGCTCGGAGTACAACGGGAGACTCAGTGGTGAAAACCTTGCAAAAGAGCCGGGCGGCCCTCTCGAACGCAAGGACACCGCCTCATCGACGGCAACAGTCGCAACGACAATAGCAACCCAGGGCTCGGGCGAAACGGTAACGACCGCATACAGCCTCCAAGTGTCGCCGGAGACTCTTGCTGCTTCGCAGCAGCATTCGTTCGCCATCAGCAATGGCAACGGCACGCCCCCAGGAAACAACGATACCCAACGACGATCAAGTACTTCGAGAAGACGAACAGGGCCTTTGAGTGCAGAGCAACGGAAGCGAGCATCGTATATAAGAAAAATCGGCGCTTGCTCCACTTGCAAGAAGCGTAGAGTCGCAGTACGTTTGGCATTTTAGGCCTTCGCAACAGTTGAAACGGCCCCTGCTGACACCTGTATGCCTATCTAGTGCGACCCGTCACATAAAGCTACAACCTGGGACGCAGCTAGTGAGGCAATTCACGAGGTTGGCTTGGCCCCGGACAGCAGTAGGAGTTTGAGCTCTGTACTTCCTGCTTCTAGGCCGCCTTACAGCCAGGATCAGGCCGCAATGGATATCGATTTGCCTCCATTACAACAGTCGGCTTTTGGAACTCCGCCTGCCCCAGGCAGGACTCCTTTACCTTCCAGCCCTCGTCTACACAGGCCGTTCAACCTGGTTCCTGTAGCTGGGCAGGATAGTTTCAGGGCGGAGCTCCAGGGAACCGCTTCGCGCATTGCATCGAACCCTCTTCGCAGTCGTTATGCCCGGGTTTCGGTCCTCCTTGCTCGATGGCAAGATGATGAAGATGAAACGGCCAAGAAGGCAATGGAAGATCTGGCAGACACTCTGAGCAAAGACTATGACTACAAAGTGGAACCCGCGCCCATACCCACTTACTCGGGCGGAAAGAATAACTCAGCACTTTGGTTGACAAACAAAGTTGCCGAGTTTCTCTTGGAGGATAACCAGCGCGATGTCTTGAAGATCTTCTGTTACAGTGGCCACAGCTACCTTGGCCCGGATCGAGACACTATCTTTGCAAGGTGAGCGATGACAGTCTCCGTGTTTCAAACCCCCTTCCCGTTTATCTGACCTGGTCACAGCTCCAAGAAACCCGATCCTGAATCCTTCATCCCATGGCAGGGCATTCAGCAACTTTTCGAAAACACATATACCGATTCTTTGGTGATCTTGGATTGCGCTTACTATCCCATGTACCAAAACGTCCGCCAAAAGGGTATGTTGGAGGTCATTGCTGCCTCGGCTGGATGGGATCACCTTGAGCGGCTGAGAAGAGGCACGTTTACACACATTGTGAATGAGCAGCTCAAGTCAAGGGCGGCTCAGAAGTTCAAAGAGCCTTTCACGGCAGCCAGTCTCCACGCTAAGCTGGTGTCAGAGTATGCCACGTTGATTCAGGGTCACAATCAAGACCAAGGGATTACTATAAACTTCCCTACGCCGATACTTCTTCAAGAATCCAGCAACAAGGTATTGCCCTCAATTCCCCTGACACCTCTCCGGAAAGGCACGCCTCCAGTTTTCACCCCAGATTCACCAACAAGCGGCTATACGCTTCGTTTTACTTTTAATCTATCGGAAAATACATATGATTTGGACGCGTGGTCAGAATGGTTACGTTCTATGCCAGTAGGCATCAAGGAAGTTAAGGTTGAGGGCCCTTATCGGGATACGTTTCGGTAGCAGAGAACCTAGTCCATTAAAGACGACGAACCGCCGCTTCCCCCTGATTCCTTTTTTTAGTTTCTACTTTGTGGACACGTTTACAGAATATATTGTACGGCAAGAAGGGAGACTGCGTATTTTGTATTTTTATTTGATTGGATTGTCTGAAGCGGGTGTTTGAGAACTGTGCGTGGAATAACGCTGCTTTCGGGGTGAGATGAGAATGAGATTTTGGTTTAACAAAGAAACCTAGGGGGGTGGAATATGTTGAATCTAGTTGACCCACTTGAACACATTCCACCTACGAAATTTAAACCATAATCCTGGGGGGTGGAACAGGTGCATGGCGGTCGGCTGGTTGTTGGCCCTTTTTTGGAGGAATCTATACCTTGAAGCCTTGAAGCGGTCCCTCAACCACACCGAGAATTTGTTTTGATGCCGGTGATGACTTGGTTTTGCATTGAACCCCTCAGTTGCTTTGCCTTGATTATTTATTGAGCTATTGTTTGTTTAGTTTTCAGCCTTTTAAAGCAGCAGGTTTTTTGAAGAAAAGGTGAATGAAAAGGCAGATGCCAAAATAGAAAACGAAAAAAAATAAAAAAATTGAAAGAAGATAGAGATAGGAAACCCGGAAAATATAAAAATAAAAACTCCCAACCTAGATTGTCACTTAAACGTGGGCGTTGAATGACTAATACCAGTTTGTGTGATATGGAATAACTGTTGAAGTGATCTATCTGACAGTTGCGTGTATTGTAGATGATGCTCATCAATAAACTATAAGCAAAAGGTATGCCAAAATAGATCTACATAACCATGTACCATCAACAAACTATCATCCTTATTAGCTCAATCCCAAACCCTTTCTCAACATTATATATATAGACAACGCCGCTGATCACACATTCACATAATTCCTCCAACCTCCATCCAGCTTCCCCAATAACATTATTATTGATCTTACACCGCTGGAGGCGGTGCCTCCATCCCTATGGGATATGCGGTCCCTCTACAATTATTTACACGCGTGAGCGAACTCAAGTGCAGACTGTGTACCGAATTGGTCCAGCAGCCAACTCTGCCTGCTGGACCAATTCGGTACACAGTCCCCAATAACATAAGATTACAGCAAACCTTTATTCACGATAACAGGAAAGAAAACGTCAAATTAAACAAAAGGCTTACTTACCAAGGAAGAAGAAAAAAAACATAAAAAAGAAAGATTGTTTTCACAGTTACTAAACGGGGCCACCCGGGGATCGGACCCGGGGCCTGACACATGAGAGGAGTGAACCCTAAGCTTCAATCATACCACTAGACCAGCGGCCCTTTTTGATTGTTTATATCAAGTTATATCTGTTGGTTCGAGAATTAGACTTTTCAAAGGCTAAAAAGAGATTTGTGTGTGTTGGGGGGGTTGGCTCCGTGGACCGTTGGGTGAGTCATGCGGCGGGAAAGACAGGGGTAAAGCTTAATATTGCTGTATGTTTGTGTGTGTGTGTGTGTGTGTGTGTGTGTGTGTGTGTGTGTGTGTGTGTGTGCGGGAATAGTATCACTCTTTCAGAATAGGAAATAACATCCAATTGTATAAGGGCCGCTGGTCTAGTGGTGTGATTCTCGCTTAGGGTTCACCTTGAACATGCGTGAGGCCCGGGTGGCCCCGTGTCAATATATCTTGTGATCTTCAGGAAACATATTTTTTTGTCTCCTGATCATGGTTAAAGAATATCTTTTGGATAAAATCATTGATGATTGACTGGTTTGTTTTCCCGGGGAAACACACCCATCTATGGTAGATGGATACAAGATGTTTCTAAAGATATTTTACTCTTGAGGTTTTATATGTATAGAGTTGATTTGTTACCATTTGGGTAAAAAGAACAAGTTACCCCTGATTAAACACCGCGCTTCCCATTTCCTAAACTCATGCGTGGTCCGTAACTCAAGCTTCCGATTCCAACACAGATCTCTGCCTCTCTCTGACAGCACATTTCTTACCGCTCGCCCGCAAGAGTAATATCAACCTTTTCAGCATTCACGTACCAGATAGCAGCCTCGATGATACGGCAGACGATCCGTAAATCACTCTCATCTGATACAGTTAATCAGTCATAGTCTGGCGTTCGATCATGGAAGGAATCACTCACTCCTAGGCGCATAAATCATGGTAAAGGTTGTCGGAAGTGGCGCTTGAATCCAGCCCTTCCACGCCATCGGGTGTCTTTGACCCCAGCCCTTCTTCAATACCTCTCCAATATCGTCTGGATGAAGGTTCATGTGCATCGACCTATCCGAATTATGGATATGGCAAATCTCCCCATTGCCGCAGACATTTAGAGGATGCCGAGAGAACAGGGCGAACCCATGCTTTTCCAGACAAGACGTAGCGGTGACAAAGTCCTTGGGTTCTCGCACCGTGAGGGCCTCGATTGCGGCACGAAGTCTATTGTACTCCGGCAATGAGCCGTGCTGGTCTAGTTGCCTCTGAGGGGCAAGACCTGCAACGCTTGGACGTGGGCCAGGGCGGTAGGGCAGATCGCTGAGTATGCCGGCTGATGGTTGCTTAACTGTGTCCCTTGGAGGAGCCGTAAATGGGTCTCGAAGGGTGAAGAGTCGATACCAGGTCAGTCTGGCATAGCCTGATGGTGTTGGAGGCGTTCCCCCCGGTCCAAGCTTCAAAAAATTGAGATAGTCGTTATGAATGAGAAGAGCCACAGGGACGGCAATGATGAGAAACTCGAGGACTATCCAGTCTATAAAGTGCATGCCAAGGACTAACAACACTGAGAGGGCTAGAAGAGCAGAGGCATCTAGCGTGATGTAGAATGGGTCTTGTCTGATCACCATATTAATGGAGACCTGGCCCTGCTCGTCGCTGGCCGCCTGACAAGGCTCCGAGGTGACTGTGAGAGACATGTTGGGCAAGGGGGCGTTGGGATGTACTACGGATTGTGATCTGAGGATTCGGCTTCTTTGTTCAAAAGCATTTTAGGTGGCCTAGGTCTCGGTTATATATGCTCGCGTGTCAACTTCAATGAGGACTAGAAGGGTTTGATGAAGGCATGAGTTGGACCATTCAGGACAAGAGGAATGACATGGCGCATATTACTGCAGAGTTCTGATCCTGAGGCCCAGGGTCCCTTCAGTGGTGTGGTGATGCACGATGTCGAAAGGAGAAAGGTGGGAGAAGCCTATAGGCTCTTGACAATACGATGCGGTAACTATTTGATCATGGGTACACTGACCTCTCCCAATTGACCAATAACTGTTCGCAGTCTGGAAGGTACGGTTTGATGCTTGGGTACACTTCCCGGCTTCCAAGAGTAGGTGGATCTGAGATAAACTGTTGTTCGGGTGGGAAATCTTGACAAAGAAATCAAGTTTTGGAGGGTATATGCAGGTGCCAGATGTCATTGTACAGGCTTTCATGAGGTCAGTGTATTGTTCAATCGTCGATCCAACATACTCAGCTGCTTATGCGCATTATGTGGCTTTCATTCAATTCGAGCCCTGTAATCCAAAAGCCGAAGGATGGGGATTCGTTCTAGTGAGTGTCACAGCATGCTGGCCCTGGTGTCGCTGGAATCAGTTTCTCTCTCAACAAAAGTAGAAGTCAATTCCTGTCTCGAAAATCAGCATCGGATCCCAGAAACTCCCACTTCCGATCGTCAAGTCATCTGATGCTCGTCGCCCAAGACGCCAGGAGAGGGGAAAACAATCCGATTCGCCAATGTCGAACTACTGCACTTTGCTGGCCGAAAAGGGGATTCCGAGCGGCTCTTCGCTCTGTCTCGGTAGGCAGGGCAATCGTATGTCTTGGAAACCTTGAGGACCGAAAAAGTCCGAATGACTCCGAAAAATATACCCAGAGCCCCTTCAATAGGCAATATCTTGGGAGATCACGAAACGCACGAATGGTTTGTGCTGAGCAAACACTCGGGTCCGAGACACGGGCCTATTTAGTGGGGCCCGGGTTCCAGAAGTCGGACAACGCGGAGCCGGCCACCCACCGAGCGGTTGCTAACGATTTTGTCTTTTGGAAGGTGCAAAAAAAACGCCTTGTCAGCGGACCTCGATTGAAAGATGACGTGGACTGGCAAAAGATCAGCGGCAGCGGTCCCCACAAAAGCCACCCGTTGCCAAGCGTTACATCGATGGAAATTAACATTAGCACTTGGCTATTGCTTGTCAAACCTTCGGCAGCACAGCAGCAACTCTGGCAGTCACTTATTCAAGTCAGTTTTGACAAGATGGATATGTGCAACCGCCAAAGGCCCCCAGACGTTCCAACTGAAAATCGAACCCTCAGGTTAACCATGGACAGATTTCGACGGCCGGGGATCGGCCGGACCCACGGTTACATGGAACTTGAAACGACAAGCAGAGTGCCATCCCGAATGGGAATTCAAGATGCTGCCATGCAATTCGCCGAGCCTTATTGTTTTATTATTTTTCCAGGGGCACAATGCCACACTCACTCACTCAGATCCCCTTCAGCCTTGACCAACATGTCGTGTGCATCGAATGCCGTTCAACAAGCGGATGCCAAATCGGGTCATCGGGTTCATTTAGGGGCCGGTGCAGTACGCGGAAATCAAGCCGTCTGATCTGATTTGGGGAATTTAAAAGACAGGAGGCCGGGCTTAGGCATTTGACACCTGCGAGGGAGGCAGGAGGATGCTGGTGATTGACACACACAAAAAGACCTTGACCGAGACAAACAGCCACCCTCCAAGAAATCCATCCACTTCTCGGCTTTTGCGGCAATGACGGACCCAACGACCTTGTTAGAAAAAAAATATATGAAAAGCTTCGCATGATCTCTCTGGATTCCAAGATCCGTGCTTTTTTTTTTTTTGCTTACTTCTTGGTTGTGACTATCTACACTAACTTCCCGCTGCTTCCGCCAGCCTTGGGTCTCCCCACTAATAAGCTCAGCTTGCGATCAGGGTCCCATCCACTTTTTTCTCTTTGTTTCTGTCATTCTGTCATAACCAAAACACAACCTCAAACCTTTCCCACTCTCGTTGAGTTGGCCTCGTTTTTGGAGGCGGGGGAATGATCTCTCGATTCAATTCTTAGTCATTCATTATTCAGTTATTCGTTTCATCGTTTCATCTATCCTTTTCTCCTCATTCTTTTTTTTTTTTTTTTTTTTTGATTCTTGATTAAATTGAATACATTCGGATTACATACATTGATAATCTGCATGATTTGTCAAGATGCATCTTCCACTGTGGCAGTCTTCACTCTTGCCACTCGCGCTCCTTAACGTTCCTCTTCTTACCTTTGCCGAGCCGATCAGGCTCTCTCAACATCAGGAACATGGTTTGATACTCGCCCCAAGAGCGCGTCCCAACGCACCCAATGGCTACGCTCCCGCCAATGTCACTTGCCCTCAGGACAGGCCCAAACTCCGTGTTGCGGGTGCCGTCTCTGAACGTGAACAACAGTGGCTCGCAAAAAGGCGCAAGGAAACCGTCAAACCCATGATCGACTTTCTCACTAATGCCAAGATCGATGGTTTCGATGCAAAGAATTATATCAACAGGGTTGCCGATGGCGTCAAGGACCTACCCAACATTGGAATTGCTGTTTCTGGTGGTGGATATCGTGCTTTGATGAATGGGGCTGGTTTTATTGCTGCTGCTGATAGCCGGACAAGTGGCTCATCTAGCGCGGGCAGCATCAGCGGATTGCTCCAGTCTTCTACTTACTTGTAAGATTATAACTTTCCATCGTTCGAACATTCCACGACTGTGTTTACTGACTGACATGTTCACAGAGCCGGTCTATCAGGAGGCGGTTGGCTAGTAAGCAGTATCTATGCCAACAATTTCACCACTGTCGAGCAACTTCGTGACGGTAGAAAGGGTAGCAGCATCTGGGATTTTGCAAACAGTATTTTCAAGGGACCAGACATGTCTGGCATCTTTGATACTGTCAAGTATTGGAGATCCATTGCCAAGCAAGTCGCAAGCAAGAAGGAAGCCGGTTTCGAAACCTCCATCACAGATTACTGGGGACGTGCTCTATCCTATCAGCTTATTGACGCCCCCGACGGAGGCCCTTCTTATACATTCTCCAGTATTGCGCTGGATGAGGAGTTCTCCAACGCCCGCGCCCCCTTTCCAATCCTTGTCGCTGATGGACGCGAACCTGGCACCAAGATCATCTCTTTAAATGCAACGGTCTTTGAATTCAACCCATTCGAAATGGGCTCATTTGACCCCACGGTCTACGGTTTCGCTCCCATAGAGTATCTCGCTTCCAACTTCACCAATGGTGTGGTCCCTCCCAATGGCGGTTGCGTTCGGGGCTTCGACTCA